GAAGGCTCTCCTCAGTGCAAGACACATGAAAGCCTGCATGGAGTTTGCTCAAAAACACCTGAAGGACTCCAAGATGGTGAGAAATAAGATTCTCTGGTCTGATGAGACCAAGATAGAACTTTTTGGCCTTAATTCTAAGCAGTATGTGTGGAGAAAACCAGGCACTGCTCATCACCTGTCCAATACAGTCCCAACAGTGAAGCATGGTGGTGGCAGCATCATGCTATGGGGGTGTTTTTTGAAAACCTTCTCCAGAGTGCTCAGGACCTCAGACTGGGCTGAAGGTTCACCTTCCAACAAGACAATGACCCTAAGCACGCAGCTAAAATAACGAAGGAGTGGCTTCACAACAACTCTGTGACTGTTCTTGAATGGTCCCGCCAGAGCCCTGACTTAAACCCAATTGAGCATCTCTGGAGAGACCTGAAAATGGCTGTCCACCAACGTTTACCATCCAACCTGACAGCACTGGAGAGGATCTGCAAGGAGGAATGGCAGAGGATCCCCAAATGCAGGTGTGAACTTGTTGCATCATTCCCAAAAAGACTCATGGCTGTATTAGCTCAAAAGGGTGCTTCTACTAAATACTGAGCAAAGGGTCTGAATACTTATGACCATGTGATATTTCAGTTTTTCTTTTTTAATAAATCTGCAAAAATGTCAAAAATTCTGTGTTTTTCTGTCAATATGGGGTGCTGTGTGTACATTAATGAGGAAAAAAATGAACTTAAATGATTTTAGCATATGGCTGCAATATAACAAAGAGTGAAAAATTTAAGGGTGTCTGAATACTTTCCGTACCCACTGTACACTCATGCAGTGCTCAGTATGTTGACTGTAGTTAATTCATGTGAATTAAAATAAAACAAACACTAGATTTATGTACTGTAGTTCACAGCTGAGTCTAAAAAGGTGTATGTAAAAAATGAGTTGAGTTTTTGTAGAGCAAATGACTACTGCACAGTAATGCATGCACAGTAATTGTCCAGCAGAGAAGTTGCAGTTGTGACTGCTGGTTGTAATATTGTGTGCTCGCGCTTCTTTTATTTTATCAAAAATTTTTTTTTGGCATTTTGGGGAAGGGAAATCATGAAATAATTTCATCCTGAAAGAGGCCTGCATACTTAAGAAGGTTAAAAGCTACTGTATTTCAGTATGTTGTGTAGTAGACTATTTAGCCAGTTGCATGTAATATTTAATTGGAGTGGTGGCAGTGCAGTGCTTTCTTTGTTGACCGAAGGTTTAAAGTTAATTTGCACAGGTTTCTGGTATTTATTTTATGTAATCACAATCAGAAAGCAAATCCCATGAAATTTAAACAGTGTCTAGAGTCACTGCACTTCTATAGTGATCAGAATTTTTCTGGTAGAAATACTGCATTGTTATTAAGTAGGCATCAGTACTCAGATTTAAGTACTCATACTCTGTATGGAAAAAGTGGTACCAGTGCATCCCTATACAAAGCCTATTGTGTGGTTTAGAAAGGAGTTGGCAATAATAGTGAAGGAGACATTTTAAACTAGTACAGTTGTTAAAGCTTACTTAGGTGTGGTTGGTCCTGATAGGAGTGTTTCTTTTTTGTTTTTTTTTTGTTTTTTTAAGGATAATTATGATTTAGTTGTGTGTGAATAACACTGTCTGGAAATGTATTCTGTTATTCCTTTAAGTAATTATTATTTTTGGCTTTTTATTTGTTTTAACAGGGTATCTGAATGCCTAGACACTAAATCAGCACAGGAGGTGCTTCTCAGTCTAGCAGCCCAAATTGACAGTAACAAGAGATGCAGGTTCAACATCAATCGTTCTTCAGTTCTGGATGGTGCCTTGCGGGCCTTCAAACGATTGTCCTACAATCCCAAGTCCCAGATGTGCATCAAGTTTTCTGATGACTTGGGAGTGGATGAAGAGGCCGTGGACCTTGGTGGCCCTAGGAGAGAGTTTTTACGATTGCTTATGGAAGCCCTGATGGTATCACCAATGTTTGAAGGAAGGGACGGAAAACTGAATTTGGCTCTGGACAGTACTGGTATGTACTATGTACTTGCTCTCAGTGTGTTGATTTACACAATCAATTCCCCATTACCACAACCCTTGTATCATCACAGGTGTTGTCCCTCTCGTGTATGCTTGTTTTGTCTTTATCACTATCTTTTCACCAGCTTTAAGAGACGATCGGTATTTCATTGCTGGCCAAGCCATTGCTGTAAGCCTTGTTCATGGTGGTCCTGCACCAGGTTTCTTTGCACCAACACTGTATTCTTGTCTGATTGGTGGCAAGTCCTCAGTAAACCCTGTCTTAGAAGACATTGCTGACACCGACCTGTATGAAAAGGTTCAAAAGGTAAGTATAGTGGAATATGAATATTTTAAGTGCATGTAACATTTCACGTCTTTAGCTCAATGGTTACAGAAAGTTATCACTTTATGGGCCCTAGTTTACTCACTCACTAGTGTCCTAGGACTGAATTAGCTGAGGCAACCACAGTTTAAGTAAGGCACAATTTTTAAGGAAAAAAACATTTGGATGAGTGACACAATAGTGTAGCACTGTGGTTTTCAAAGTGGGAAGCACACCTCATGTGTGGGGGGGATAAGAGAAAAAAAATAACCCAGAAAAAATGATTGTAGACATTAAATATCAAGTAGGCTATGTGTAGGCCAAAATAGATTGACACCTACAGTGAGTTTGGGGCGAGAAGAAAGGTATGACAGTGATTGGGGTGCTTTGTATACAAAGCTAGAGGAACTGTGGTCTCAGAAGAAAGTAACTGAGACATTATTAAAATTGTGAATACAGAGGCAACAGAAGCATCATAACACATTGCATTACACAGAGCTGAGGCAGGTATATGGAATGCACATGATGCTGAGACAGTAATATGACAAGCACTGCTGTGTATGGTGTGGAGTTATGATTTGGCCAACTCATTTTGGTGTATTCAGAAGTTATTTGACTTCAGTAAAATTGTACAAATAGGCCTTACAATGTATGATTTTGTTGAATTGAGACTATTTTAATAAGGCTATAGTTCAGTGTGTTTTAATTTTGTGATAAAACTGTGGAGGATTAATCAGTAAACAATTTTGTGTGCTGATTTTTATAATTTTTTTGATTTTTATAATTTTTTAAAGTCCTTTAGAGTGGAATTGTGTTTCAAAATAGTCTTTGCTTAAAAGATGTACATGTATTGTTGAAAGTCATTTTTGGTTGAGTGGAACATATAGTAAGCTACACCAGTAGTAGGGGTGGGAGTGAGGGGCTGTTTTCATTATCCCTGCTGAGGGGAGGCTCACCTTCCTATACTTTGAAAACCCCTGGTGTTGCAGATAGTGTAATTTGTACAACTGTTTAAATTAACAACATTAACAGTACTAGTTTGCTGAAGCAGTGCAACTTCACATTGTAAATTCTGACAATATTTTAATTGATGTGATACAGCAGTGTTTACATCATTGAAAGATGAAATGACGCTGTTGGTAACCATTGGCAAGTATTCCTTGGCATTGGATTAATGAGCCTCAGTTATTTGGGGCATCTTGCATAAGGAAGGAGAATACAGAGCTATAACTAGCTAATTTTTCTGCTAAAAATTATTACCTGTTAAAGTTGGGAATGAACAAGATTTCAAATTAAGCTTCTCAATGCATGTTGCATGTATGGTCTAATATTTCTATGCCCTCCCTAATACTGTATCATCCCAATTACTGATGGGATAGTCAGTCGTCTTGTTCTTATTATGCATTAGTGATGCAAGTCCTTCCTTTGGCTACTGCTAGCTTTACATTAGATGATTCAAAATGTATTTGATATGTGCATTTTTTTTTCTCATAGATTCAGGGAGGGGCTGAAGACCCTTGGTGTTCTGGATGCAATCCAAAGGCATCCAGACAGTTTTAGACCCTTAATGTGCCATGAACCATCCCCACTCACTGCTGACATGATTGATCACCTTTTCCACATCCGGCTGTCTGTAGTGGGAAGCAACAAGAGAAGAGCAGAAGAAGTTGTTGTCCCATTTTGGAGGGATTACCTACAGGATGTTGAAGGTAAATGCTACTGCTAGGCACTGCTTTGTCTGTCATTTGGTTGGTCCATCCATGTACACAGTATTAGACTACTAATGCCACATTTCCATTGCAATTAATAGTAGCGATTAATTCCTTTCTTCTTAAATCAAAGCTTGGTAAAATCCTAGCCTTTGCCACAGGTGCAAGTGTCATCCCTCCAATTGGCTTCTCCCCTCAGCCATCAATTGATTTTCTGCATGATCAGTCTTTCAGCCCCAAATGCCATTTGCCTATGGCAAACACCTGCATCAACTGCCTTAAGTTGCCACTGCTTGACACATATGAGGATTTCAAGGAGAGCATGGACTTTGCATTACATAACACTCAGGGATTTGGTAGACGGTAACTTCAGAAACATTGTTTGTTTCAAATCTGTTGTTCAGGATACTTCAGTTATACAGGTTGCACTGTGAAAATGTGAGGTTCTGCTTTTTATTGTGGAATAATTAAGGTACTGAAAATGCACTTAAATGTTATTTGAAAGAACTACTTTATTGTTTTTCAAAGAGTAACAAACATGTTTGGCATTTTACAACCAATTCATTTATCAGCATTTGAATTCTTTAATCAGCTAACTGCAACAGTTATTACAAGTGTGAGTTCATTTTTCTTGGTCAATATAAAGGCACAGTAGTGCAAAGGAAATAGTAATGAGTTTGCTCAAAAAAAAAAAAGTGTGTTAGCAAGTGTTTGTATTTTCCACAGCGTTGTTATTCACTAAAAAAAAACTCAATAGACTTAAAAATAAATGTATGCCATGGTTACCATCACTCATTGGGTCTACTGTCTCTTGAATATTGTTCAGAACAGTTTGATTTATATTAAAGTCATTTACAGGAACAAATATAGTTTTCAGTCTCTAACTGAAGAGAGGTCTCATCTATAAATCCAGAGGGTTCGTTTCCTGCAAAAATATCATCAATTGTCAAGTTACCAGTTCCAGCACTATTGAGAACACCTCTCTGCCAAAGTTGGAGAGGGGTTTGTCCTCCTTGAGTAGATAATCCATGGTTGTTCCACTGATTTCGGAATTCTGCAGCTGCCCTTTGAACTCTTGGTAGGTAGATATAGTGAAGACAGAAAAGATGGAGCTCATTGGTGGAATTCAGTATGCCCTCATTTTCCATGAAGGTAAAGAGATTACTGAAGTGGATTGATACAACTCTGTTTAACTCCGCCCACAACCGTTCTATCCTCTGATTGTGGACGCTACGTCCAGTAATGACACTGCATCTGTTTAAGCCCCTTCTTTCCAGCATATAACGGGCAACCCCTATGTTCTCCATGCCGTGGTCACAACGTATTCTTAAGGGAAGGCCAAAGCTTTGTACACCAGTGCAAAATAGATCCAATACACTTGATGCTCTGTTGTTATTGAGACACTGCAAGTATATAATGGTCCGGCTAAAGCCATTAATGCATCCATGACCATCCTCCACCTCACCAGTTTATGGTTTCCATCTATGTGCCTGTTGGGAGAAAATGTGTAAATAGTTACAAAATATATGCAACCATTTTGAATAATGACCAGAATGCATTCCTTACATGCTTGAACTATTTGAAGTTAAAGGGGCAGTTAATCTAAATGGTTTAGAGATGTCTACTCAATGCACTGCACTGAGAAATTAAATTCACTCTGTGGTTCTCAAGCAACAGAGAAATGACAGCTTATAACCTAATTAATTTTCTGAGAAGCAATGTTATTATTCCAGTATATTCACAGGTCACATTTCACAGGGACTACTTTTGTAGAAAGTAAATAAGAATAACCTCAAACTCATTGATTATCCAAAGTGATAACCCTAACCCTTCTGAACAATAAGTAAAACACTACTAAAATCAAGTTTTCTGAACATCATTTGTAATAGCTTAGTGGAAGATATTTTGCAGGCAGATGGTTGAAACCTGTACTGTAAAACATAAATAACCTGTCACTTAATTATGGTAATCAATTTATGTAAGCACCCAATAAAAATTTACAGTAGGTTAAATGCTTTAATGCTCCGCTCAATGGCTGCATAGTTTACTGAAATGTATTGTCTTAGTGACAGGATATTAGTCCCAGATTTTCTTTTTTTTACTTTGGGGAACTCTGACATGTCTATCACGATTGTAAGCGTACAGGCAACTTATTTGCTACTGTTCATGTGTATCAAATCGGAGTAATTTCTACCAACCTGACAAAAACCAGAAAAAACCTATACCAGTAAGTCTTTTCGGCTAAAGATGTTACAATATTACTAAGTCAGCATGATTTCTGTGGTTGAGGCTATTGTTATAGGCTACATTTAAAGTAATATTGTATTATAGTAAATTACTATATTACATTATCTAGCCCCCCGGTGGGCTAGTGGTTAAGGTGCAGCACTCCCTGATTTGAACCCAAGGCGCGTCAGGAAGGGCATCCGGCGTAAAACGTGAGTCGTCAGACCCCTAAACGGGAAAAGCCGAAAGTGACTTTACTATATTACATTATCTGTGTGTATTTAAAAAACTGCTCTTGATTTAATTGAAAAAACAACTCACCATAATCTATTTGGAGTTTGAACATTGTAAACTCTTCGTCTAATGGCACGACGGCATTGGAAGGCACGTCCAACTGGGTCAGGCTGTTGCAGGCAGCATCTCACATGCCAACGCTGTATTCTGATGTTGCGTGATCGAAGGCTTCCTAACACATACCTTTCACCTGCATATGGGGTGGTTTGAAGGATCTCACCAACAATGGTAGTCAAGTCCTCATCAGACATTGCAGTGTAGGTCAGTGGTCCAATTTCAAGTTGCTGTCTGTGCCTGTACAATGTCCTCCTGCTAATTCCAAAGCATACAGCGATTCTTTGCCAGCTCATTCCAAGAGACAAACAGTGGGTAATTTGCTCATGTAATATGTTGTACTGAGGACGACCACGATGACCAGTCCTGATTGTTGGTGATACTGCTGAATCAGGCAATGTCCTTTGTCTCATTTTACTGATCTTATTATGAAGCAGGGGGGTTTCCTGTCCACTTGTATCAATAGTTCTAATGGCAGACAAATATGGACCTTGATTCATATTGGTTCATATTAATTGTCTACTAGATACCATAGAACACGGAACTACTATGAAATAGTAAGCTGTTAACATCTTATGTGTACTCACAGTTATTTGCATGAACGCACAACATTGAACTATGACGTGTAAACGCTGGGAACTTATTACTGTGTCTTGTCATCTGAGAGGTGTAACTGCATCCGGCTCGGTCCGAGACTGGGGCTGCTGAAGATCAGTTCCGGTTCTGGAGCTCTTTCTGACAGAGCTTGAGGTTTCATATGAATTAATGATGGACCAAAAGCATGCATGCAGGGCTCTCAGTGCACCTAAACCTTCTTGATTGTCATTCCCTTCTAATTGCTGGCAAAATGAGATAAACGATGAAATTGTCCGTGTGTATCCATGAAGCTCACAGAATAACCTTTCCAAAGCCATGCTGTCAGGCCCCATGATGTCAGATTCCCTTACAGTGTTCTGAACACACTGCATTGCATTAGAGAAAAAAAGAGTAACATCCTCCTCATTACCATTTATTTTCACAAACAAAACCTGACTTTGAAAAAGAATGTAAATGAGTAGAAAAATCATGGCTAGCAAAAGTTCCAACAAAACTATAAAAACCTGTAAATCCAGCAAAGAATCCCTGAACTACTGTACAGTATGCTGTATAGCCTCAATATTCTGACAATACCTGACATCCTCAGGAATTTTGTCCTTGAATGCATCTCTTATTTCTGCAAATGACTGCCTTGTAATCCCACATTTTCCTAATTTCAAAGGCGCTTAAAAGGTAGTCAGTTTCATGAAGCCTTCTTCTGGTTTTATGCTTGCAAACTTCACCCCATTCTGGATGGGGTAACAGTACGACGTCCTTGTTGAAGGTAGGGTGATTCTGGATGGCAGGCCTAGAAAAAGAGTATAGTCTGATTATTATTAACAGTAGAAATAGTAGTTGTGCAAGTAACTAACAGATCTGTGTTTGCTTTAATTAACAAGTGAGCAGGGAAACTAAAATTGAAATCTAGCTTGTGGAGAGGAAAGCTTATAAACACTAAGTCTGACAGCAGACAGATGTAACCTAACAAAATATGAAACACTTTCAAAATTCCAAGAGAGGACACACACACACACACACACACACACACACACACACACACACACACACACACACACACACTACCCACTAGCTTAAGTCTGAAATTGCACTGCACACTGCAATAGATTTTTAACAAGGTGTGCTAGTTTCACAGTAGCTGTTCAGACTTTATTTATAAAGGAAAACCTCTCACTAAAGCAAGAATTATGTGTTTACTCAACAAGAATATATCTGCGTGTCTGATAAAGCTTGGCGGTCACAGCGGGCTACCTGCTGGGGATATATGGTGACCAACCCTGGGTTACGCTATCAGCTAGCGTTAGCTTAGCTAGCCATAGTTGGTTGTTGGTCAAGTCTCCATTTGACATGATTAGGTACAATGTAATTTTTCATGGTTGTTTATCTTAACATTACTGTAAGTTTTTTCATTTCCGGGTTGCAAGCGAGAGCAGACGTCTTTACTGCTCCTCTTGTCTGTTCTACGATTTTTCACATCTCCTACACTTTCAAGTCTTGGAACAAATTCCATAACTATTAAAATGCCTCAAAGAGGGAAAAGAGCTATCAGAAGCGAATGAGGATATGGAGGCAGAAGAAGTGTATCACAGAGCGGCGCAAGTAACAGACATTGTGGATCAGCAGAAACAGATGTACATCGCGCTGATGAACCAACAGCAGGAAAACTTCAAAAGCTTCGTGCAACTAATTATGGAGAAAAACAACAAGAGATTTGACGACATGACCAGAGAAATACAGGAGATAAAAACGAGTTTGCAGTTTACCCAGCGAGAGGTGGATGTGATTAAAGCTGCCATGGGTGAACAGAAAATACAAACCAAGGAGACAAGGGATGATGTCTACCAAACTTGTGAGAGTTTAATAGCTATAACGGATAAAATGGAGCATTTGGAAGTACAGTCCAAGTGAAAAAACTTGATATTTGAGGGAATCAAGGAGACAGCTGGAGAAAGCTGGACAGAAGCGGAATGTAAAGTGAAGGAGATTCTAAACAATAAACTGCAAATTCATCAAGAAATTGAGATGGAGCAGGCTCACAGAGTCGGGAAACCTTCTGATCGTGGTCCGAGGGCGGTGATGGTAAAGTTGATGAAAGAGAAAGATAAGGCACACATATTGCAACAAGCAAAGAAGCTTAAAGGATCTAA